TTACCATTGCCACGTCAGCACTACTCGAGGCAACCCACCAAGGGCTTTTTTGGCCGATATTGAATTGTTTAGGGGGTAATGGAACAGAAGAAAAACAACAAGGGGTTATGTGAACCAAAGTTTCTTCAGGGTAGGGGTTATGTGAACCAGTTTCTTCAGGGTAAAACCGCCTTTGACCATTGCCGCATCAACACTAGCTCGAAGCAAACCACCCAAGGGTGTTTTTTCGCCGGCATTGGACATTTGAGGGGGTAATGGGACAGGAAAAAACATCAGGGGGTTCTGTGAACCACCAAGTTTCTTCGGGGTAGGGGTTACGTGAAGCACCAAAGTTTCTTCAGGGTAAAACCGCCTTTGACCATTGCAACGTCAGCACTAGCTCGAGGCAAACCACCCAAAGGCGTTTTTGGCCAGTATTGGATTGTTTAGGGGGTAATGGAACAGGGAAAAAATCAGCGGATTATGTGAACCAGTTCTTCAGGGTACCGCCTTTGACAATTGCCACGTCAGCACTAGCTCGAGGCAAACCACCCAAGGGCATTTTTTGGCAGGTATTGGATTATTTAGGGGCTAATGGAACAGGAAAAAATATCAGGGGGTGATGTGAACCACCAAGTTTCTTCAGGGTAGGGGTTACGTGAACCACCAAAGTTTCTTGAGGGTAAAACTGCCTTTGACCATTGCCACGTCAGCACTAGCTCGGGGCAAACTACCCAAAGGCGTATTTTGGGCGGTATTGGATTGTTTAGGGGGTATGAAACAGGAAAAAAACATCAGCGGATTATGTGAACCACCAAGTTTCTTCAAGGTAGTAAAAAGAATTTTTTTTCAATATTTATGTGCCCAAGCGATGTTGCTCTCGGCAGGATTATGTGAACCACCAAGTTTCTTCAAGGTAGTATCTTTTTTTCAATTATTTAAGTGCCCAAGCACCATTGCCACATCTGCACTAGATCGAGGCAAACGACCCAAAGGTGTTCATTGACCGGTATTGGATTGTTTAGGGGGTAATGAAACAGGAAATAGAAGAACATCGACGGATTATGTGAACCACCAAATTTCGGATTATGTGAACCACCAAGTTTTTTCAAGGTAGTAAAATGAAAAAAAATCAATTCTTTATATGCCCAAGCACCATTACCACGTCAGCGCTAGCTTGAGGAAAACCACCCAAAGGCGTTCTTTTACCGGTATTGGATTATTTAGAGGGTAATGAAACAGGAAAAAGAAGAACATCGATGGATTATGTGTACCACCAAATTTCAGATTATGTGAACCACCAAGCTTCTTCAAGGTAGTAAAATGATATTTTCTTTCAATTATTTATGTGCCCAAGCAATGTTGCTTCCAGCGGGATTATGTGAACCACCAAGTTTCTTCAAGGTAGTAATTTCTTTTTCAATTATTTAAGTGCCCAAGCACCATTGCCACGTCTGTCTGCACTAGATCAAGGCAAACCACCCAAAGGCATTCTTTTACCGATATTGGATTGTTTAGGGGGTAATGAAACAGAAAATAAAAGAACATCGACGGATTATGTGAACCGCCAAGTTCCGGATTATGTGAACCACCAATTTTTTTCAAGGTAGTAAAATGAAATAAATCAATTCTTTAAGTGCCCAAGCACCATTACCGCGTCAGTAGTAGCTCGAGGCAAACCACCCAAAGGCGTTCTTTGACCGGTATTCAATTATTTATGGGGCAATGAAACGGGAAAAAGAAGAGCATCGATGGATTATGTGTACCACCAAATTTCGGATTATGTGAACCACCAAGCTTCTTCAAGGTAGTAAAATGATATTTTCTTTCAATTATTTATGTGCCCAAGCAATGTTGCTTCCGGCGGGATTATGTGAACCACCAAGTTTCTTCAAGGTAGTAATTTCTTTTTCAATTATTTAAGTGCCCAAGCACCATTGCCACGTCTGTCTGCACTAGATCGAGGCAAACCACCCAAAGGCGTTCTTTGACCGGTATTGAATTATTTAGGGGTACTGAAACAAAAGAAAAAAAGAACATCGGCGGATTATGTGAACCACCAAATTTCAGATTGTTTAGAGGGGAAAACACCAACAGATTATGTGAACCATTTTTTATGTGTCCAAGGAATGTTATTTTTTTCAAGGTAGTAAAATGATATTTTCTTTCAATTATTTATGTGCCCAAGCAATGTTGCTTCCGGCGGGATTATGTGAACCACCAAGTTTCTTCAAGGTAGTAATTTCTTTTTCAATTATTTAAGTACCCAAGCACCATTGCCACGTCTGTCTGCACTAGATCGAGGCAAACCACCCAAAGGCATTCTTTGACCGGTATTGAATTATTTAGGGGTATTGAAACAGGAAAAAAAAAGAACATCGGCGGATTATGTGAACCACCAAATTTCGGATTGTTTAGATTTAGGGGTATTGAAACAGGAAAAAAAAGAGCATGGGCGGATTATGTGAACCACCAAATTTCGGATTGTTTAGAGGGAAAACACCAACAGATTATGTTAACCATTTTTTATGTGTCCAAGGAATGTTATTTTTTTCAAGGTAGTAAAATTATATTTTCTTTCAATTATTTATGTGCCCAAGCAATGTTGCTTCCGGCGGGATTATGTGAACCACCAAGTTTCTTCAAGGTAGTAATTTATTTTTCAATTATTTAAGTACCCAAGCACCATTGCCACGTCTGTCTGCACTAGATCGAGGCAAACCACCCAAAGGCATTCTTTGACCGGTATTGAATTATTTAGGGGTATTGAAACAGGAAAAAAGAAGAACATCGGCGGATTATGTGAACCACCAAATTTCGGATTGTTTAGATTTAGGGGTATTGAAACAGAAAAAAAAAGAACATCGGCGGATTATGTGAACCACCAAATTTCGGATTGTTTAGAGGGAAAACACCAACAGATTATGTTAACCATTTTTTATGTGTCCAAGGAATGTTATTTTTTTCAAGGTAGTAAAATGATATTTTCTTTCAATTATTTATGTGCCCAAGCAATGTTGCTTCGGGCGGGATTATGTGAACCACCAAGTTTCTTCAAGGTAGTAATTTCTTTTTCAATTATTTAAGTACCCAAGCACCATTGCCACGTCTGTCTGCACTAGATCGAGGCAAACCACCCAAAGGCATTCTTTGACCGGTATTGAATTATTTAGGGGTATTGAAACAGGAAAAAAGAAGAACATCGGCGGATTATGTGAACCACCAAATTTCGGATTGTTTAGATTTAGGGGTATTGAAACAGAAAAAAAAAGAACATCGGCGGATTATGTGAACCACCAAATTTCGGATTGTTTAGAGGGAAAACACCAACAGATTATGTTAACCATTTTTTATGTGTCCAAGGAATGTTATTTTTTTCAAGGTAGTAAAATGATATTTTCTTTCAATTATTTATGTGCCCAAGCAATGTTGCTTCGGGCGGGATTATGTGAACCACCAAGTTTCTTCAAGGTAGTAATTTCTTTTTCAATTATTTAAGTACCCAAGCACCATTGCCACGTCTGTCTGCACTAGATCGAGGCAAACCACCCAAAGGCATTCTTTGACCGGTATTGAATTATTTAGGGGTATTGAAACAGGAAAAAAGAAGAACATCGGCGGATTATGTGAACCACCAAATTTCGGATTGTTTAGATTTAGGGGTATTGAAACAGGAAAAAAAAAGGAACATCGGCAGATTATGTGAACCACCAAATTTCGGATTGTTTAGAGGGAAAACACCGACAGATTATGTTAACCATTTTTTATGTAACTAAGGAAAAAAGAAGAACATCGGCGGATTATGTGAACCACCAAATTTCGGATTGTTTAGATTTAGGGGTATTGAAACAGGAAAAAAAAAAGGAACATCGGCAGATTATGTGAACCACCAAATTTCGGATTGTTTAGAGGGAAAACACCGACAGATTATGTTAACCATTTTTTATGTAACTAAGGAATGTTATTTTGCTCCCGGCGGGGCTCGAACCCGCGACCTTCGGCTCATAAGACCAACGCTCTAACCAACTGAGCTACGGGAGCTTTGCTATTTGATTTAATTTCTTACTTAATTATTCAGATCTCTAACCTTCTGCCCGATATGTTTACGATATGTTTTGTAAACCTAACCTCGACCGACTAATTGGTTTCTGTCTGACTCGAATAACTCAGAATGACAAAATCGGTAGCATCAACTCGGTGCTGATCTGAACACAGTCAAATGTGAACAAGGCATTCTATTTGCTATGGTACTCATAAATGTCAAGGTCAACAACATGGAGGACTACAAGTGGCAGCTTATTTATGTACATAAACAATCTCCTAATGTTTTCACTCGTCAATGCATCCATGTCTACAACATCACGATCATCGGTGTACACCCACAGACTGCTCGGCTTCACCTTTTGGAGACAGGCGCGGCAAAAGGGGCACGACTTTGATTTAGCATTCCTGCGAGGAGAGCAAACCTTGTTATCGTCGTCATCAAACGTATTAAGTGGTCCGGCAAATTGGAACAGAGTGAAGAATGTGACAAGTTAGGCAGGAAGAGCATGGATGGAATTGTTTTGCTCGATGAGTAACAAACACAATATGAAATCCAAGAAGTGTTAAATAATGACATCAAGAAAGTGAAGCAAATCTCCTGAGGTAATTAAAGCATTGAGCTGGCATGTCAATTTTATTGGGAGAACCTGACGAACATATGAAGCAGGCTTTGTGTATGTAAATGTTTCTCATAATTTAAATAAATGTTGGGGCTCTGTTTGGCATAATCTGCATGCATGCAACTGATTGTTGAACTTGCCTGAAAAGAAAACGGATTGTTGAACTACAAAAGTTTACCCTTTCTTTATGAGGGTTATGAAATGCATCCAAAACAAAACAGATTGTGTTTTGGTAATGGGAACAGATTGTTGAACTATAAATAATACCATGACACCAAAGCTCGGGAAACAGGTTGTCAGTTAGATCAGTAGGATAAGGCGTAGATGGCACAGATGAACTACTTGACTACATCTAAGCTATAAAAAAAATTGCGCAAATGATTGAAGCAATGACTTTTGCAGGCGATCGAATGAGGGAGACGAGGGAATTTCATACCATTCTTCGAAGCACCTCAAGCACAAGGAGTGCGTACAGTCGGGCAGCACGATTTTAGCGTTCACCTCCAGACAAATCCCACACTCGACCTCCCTCTCCAAATCCAGGTGAGAGAAATCGCCATCCCTTCTCTTGAACTTGTCCACGCACAGCCTCCTTTGCTTCCTGTCGTCCAGTTCAGTGATCCCGCTTGGCAGCTGAAGCAACGACGGGAATATAACACCTGCCGCGACGCAAACAATGTGGATGAACATGTGGAGTCTTCCATGCCTTTTTTTCTATCTATGTAGGGAAACAGCAGGACTCTGCTGCTTCCATGGTTTTGCTTGGATTGAGAGGTAATAACAATTAAGAAAAGTACCGTAGAATTCTCTGATGCTGGCCTCCCTCTCCCAACTTGGCAAGGTCGTCGTGCCATCCTCCGCGTACACCTGCGTTACCAGAAATTTATCAAAATTCAGTCAGCAAGCAGATGCGAAGAACTAATCGGACAGAGCAAAGCGCTGAAATTGCAGAACGGCTGCGATGAAATTCAGTGAGGACCTTGTAGATCATAATCTTGAGGAGGCCGAGCGCGCTGGCGAGTCTGCAGTCGGTCCACTGGACGAGGACATGCGCGACGGCGCTGTAGGCCATCCGCATCTGGATGACCGACCCGTCGTAGTCCCTCAGGAACTCCGACGCCCTGCGCAGCAGGAGCAGAGGACGCAGCCAAATTAATCAGCGAGGCACATCAACGACGAAAAGCGCACGCAAAATCTGGGTAATTGGGGAGGGTAGTTGCACTCACAGCGCATTGGCGTGCTCGATGTCGGCCTCGAGGGCCTTGACGGACTCCTGGAACCTCCGCATCGATGAGCCGATCGATGGACCGCCGGCGAGAACCCTAGCTAAACCTCCTCCTCCTTCTCCCGGCTGCTCCGCTCTGGTCTGGTCTACTCGGGTGGTGATCGGATTGGACTGGATTGTGCTCCGCTGCCTCCCCCTTAAGCTGCGGGCTTGGATTGCTTTCCCACCACTTTTGCTGCGCTCTTTGCTGAGTCCAACTCTAATCCGAGCCGTACTCCTCCTTTTGTTGCCACTCTCGAGGGGTTGGGGAGGCGACGAGGAACAGTGAACGGGGCCCGCGTGGCAGTCCTTTGTGCGATCCAGTGGAGCATTAACATCCCTCGTTCACGCGCCAAAAAGACACGAGGTTTACTCTTTCTCGCTGACAGGTGTGTCCGCTCGTGGGTCGGACCTTCTTGGCATTGAAAGTAGGTAATCGGGTGGGTACATTACTGGTGGAACGAGGCGGAGTTGGGTTTCCTGCCGAGCCAGGGCCCACGGAGAAATATCCGGAAACAACGTCCACCTACGGGCGCTGCGCCCCGGTGTGCGTCACGTACTAACACGTTCGCTGACAGATGGGTCCAGCAGAAGCCTAGGCCGACATGGCAGTATCGGCAATCGGATATTTTCTTTTTTCGAGGCGGACCGGATGAGGTGCAGTGGATTTGTGGGTCCCGTAGGAGCGGAAGGAGGAAATCAGGGGGCTCCCTTGGTTTTGCTTTTTGTTTGGGATGCCGGGTGCGGCTCACGGTGGGGCCGTGGAAACCTTATCTAGGTAGGTTGATGCACTTGACCCCCGCCCCCGGGCAAAGAACGGTTGGTGGTTCGGTCAAGCACTCAAGGTTGTGGTTATCTCGGGACATGCCTTGGCGAATGGTGATTGGGGAGTAATCCAATGGCTCTTTCTTGGACCAGGGGGCAAATGTTTTATAGTTTAGTATCGTACCTTAATTTCAATTTGCTTATCACATCTACCGTGTGGTATAGATGTTTATAGTAAATTACACTATGATGGTTATCTTGTACTCCTTCTATTTCTTTTCACAACCTTTGTAAACAACTACCCCGCAAAAAAAAAACCTTTGTAAACAACTATAAGACGTTTATTTACAAAGAGAGTACTTCGCATATAAGATTTGTCTTAAGTCAGAAGATATATATAACTAAATTTATATTAAAACTATTGACATCCGCAATACTATATATGTAGGACTCCTCTTTTATATTCCCAGGGGTACATACTCCCATCTCTTAACCTATATTTCAGTTTTTTTTTTTTTGAAACTAACCTATACTCCAGTTTGAATATAGCTAATCGCAAGAAACAAACAGTGAGAGAAGATAAAACTGAACCGTTGCATGCAACGACCACACACATGCATGCGTCCTGATTGATCCTAAAATAAAGGGATTCAATACCGGATGCCTAACCCGTCCATGTGCATGCACCGTTCCACACAAAAAAGAATCCATGCATTTTTTATGTCCCTTGAAGGAAAAGGGATATATACTGTTTTTGTTGAGTACATATTACTTTTGTCCGTACGAGTATACTGTCTTTTTTATTGAGTACTAGTACAATATCCGTGCGTTGCCACGGGCTTTCTAAATTTTATGTGGTGGCATTTATAAAGATAATTCATGTCAAATTTTGCATGTATAAAATAACAATTTTTCTAATTTTGAGTCATTTATTTTAAAATTTGCTTCAGGCTATTTTTTGTGACCGTCGGATCTGCACAAATCGTAGCGCTATTTGGTTTAATCTAAAGCAAAACCTTTATCTCGTAGAGCCAGTTTGAATTAAATCCTGAACTTTCAATCCCTAAAATTAGCACTCCGTACTTATCGATCCCGGTCAATCCCGACCTTCTCCCAATCTACACCAATTTTGGGGTGCTGAGAAACAGATAATCCCTAGTGGGATCATAACTTCTCTCGGTGACTAAGCTAGTCCACTTGTCACACACATCTTCTCCCACTTGAAGAGCACAAACATGTATGGCATGCATATCCACAATGTCAAGCATGCTAATCTCTTCCTCCACCATGCAAATGGAGAGGCAACCACTGCTAGATAACACAGTTATTATCTGCAACAAGTTAGCAGTGTTGCCTGCGTATTCTTGGGTTTGCATGGTCATGCGCTAGAGAGTGAGGAAGAACATGTAGATGACACGTGAGCATCTCGTTCGGAATTGACCTTTTTCCTGGCGTGACAAACAGGTCTAAAGACAGATTGACCAGGATTGACAAGTACAGGGTGCTAATTTCAAGGATTGAGAATTCAGGGTCGATTCAGATCGGCTCTATGAAGTCAAGATTTTTTTTAGAATTTTCTCTTTGGTTTATTCGCTCGCTCCATCTGTCCCCCTATGTGGCGCGTGTCAGGTCTCGATTGTTTTTCTTTTCGGGCTAAGAGCATCTCTAGCGTAAACCGGGCCATCCAACAAAATAACGCCGGTTAACGGGATGGAGGCAGGTTTTTTCACCCCGGAGAGATCACGTATATTCAACCATCCCAGATTCTTTTTTGCGGGATCCTGCATATTTTGGGACCGTTTCCGCTATATCTATGGGAATGGGGGCAATTTTTACTGGACCTGAAAAATAAGAAACAATTGGCAGAAGGGAACTTTCAGCTCGCACCACGGTCTTCCCCAAGCGCGACCTCGCCTCAAAGCCTCAACATCAGCGACCACCGCACCCTAGTTGCAGCTCTGCGAGCTAGCTGCCGCCGCCGCCGCTAGCTAGCTAGGTGTTGCTGCTGCGGCCTGCGCTAGCTAGCTGTTGCTGCCGCCGCCACAAGATCGATGCAGATGGTTTCTTCTTGTTGTGAGATCCAACAATGGCCCTCTCTCCATCCTGACGAGATCCTTGCGGTGGAAGCGGCCAAGGCGTACCCAATTGTAATTTAGCGGGCGTTTTAAGAGCAACTCCAACGGGCCGACCCAAACAGGCGACGCATTTGTCTGCTTTATGTCCGTTTGGGTCGGCCGCCCGCCCGGCATCCGCCCTGTTTTGTATTTGGGTTGGCAGTGCGTCCAACGCGCCGAACCATTTTTATGTCCGCACTCAATTTTTAAAAAAGGCTCGCGGCCATAGATTATGGCAGCGGCCACATCTAATGCCGGCACCATGCCAGCGCCGGCATACATTGTCGGCTTCAAAAAATATCACTACACAGTTCATGATGGCGCACTCGCCAAAGGCCGGCACACATGCCAGCACACAAAAGAGGGTGGACTTGAGTTCAACCACGCCATCACGGCCCTGTGGTCATGTCAGCGCACAAGACGACATACAAAAAAGAAGGCGCTCGCGGCCACGAGATCACTCGTCGGTGAACTTGAGCATGTCAGCCTGCATCTTCTCGAACCACGGCCTCTTCCTTGGCGACACGGTGCTGAGATCCACCTTCATGATCTCCACCCCGGTCATCATGCTTGCGAGAGCCACTTCTTTGGCCTTGGTCTTGGCGTTGGCCGCCTCGATCTCGAGCATCTTGGCTTGCTTCTCCGCCTCAAACTCAAGCATCTTGGCTTGCTTCTCCGCGTCCATCTCTAGCCTCCTCCTTTGGATCTCCATGAAGGCGTTCATTTGCTCCTCTTTGAAATGCCGGAGCTCCTCCTCTCTTGAGTCCTTGTTAATCATGCCCTCCACGCTTGCGATCAAGGCGTTCGATGTTGCATCCCGCTTGTCCTCCTTCTTGGAGTTGGTCTTCCCCCGCGGTCGAGCCGGCTCGCCGTCCCCAACCTCCTCCACGGCTTCCTTCCCCCCACGCGACTTGAGGGCGGCATATTGCGCCTTGAACTTCTCCTCGCCTTTGATGACCCTATAGCAATGGATGAGGTTGAAGCACTTGCCCTTGTGTTGGGCCTTGAATGCCTCCAAAGCTTGAAATGCCTACAAATGTGTGATGCCCCCGATTCAATCGTACACTAATCATGCACGCAAATGTGTACGATCAAGATCAGGGACTCACGGGAAGATATCACAACACAACTCTAAAACATAAATAAGTCATACAAGCATCACAACACCTGCACGTTGCGAGGGCGGCCGAAAGCAGAACTAGCCCCCTTAATACAAGAGCAGGCTTACGTTCCAATCCGGCGCGCGCCGCTCAGTCGCTGGCGTCACGAAGGCTTCGGCTGATACCACGACGCCGGGATACCCATAACTACTCCCGCGTAGACGGTTAGTGCGTATAGACCAAATGGCCAGACTCAGATCAAATACCAAGATCTCGTTAAGCGTGTTAAGTATCCGCAAACGCCGACCAGGGCCAGGCCCACCTCTCTCCTAGGCGGTCTCAACCTTCCCTGTCGCTCCGCCACAAAGTAACAGTCGGGGGCCGTCGGGAACCCAGGCCCACCTCTACCGGGATGGAGCCACCTGTCCTTTCAGCCCCCTCATCAGAATCAATTGCGGGTACTCATCGAGCCGACCCGACTTTAGTCACCATCTGTATAGTGTAAATGTATGTATAGTATATACCCGTGATCACCTCCCGAGTGATCACGGCCCAATAGTATAGCAAGGCAGACTGACAAGAATGTAGGGCCAATGATGATAAACTAGCATCCTATACTAAGTATTTAGGATTGCAGGTAAGGTATCAACAGATGTAGCAACAATGTCAGGCTATGCATCAGAATAGGATTAACGGAAAGCAGTAACATGCTACACTACTCTAATGCAAGCAGTATAAAGGAGAATAGGCGATATCTGGTGATCAAGGGGGGGCTTGCCTGGTTGCTCTGGCAAGAAGGACGAGTCACCAACACTATAGTCGAACTGGGGGTCGCCGGCAGTCTCGGGGTCTATTGGGAAGAAGTAACGGAGGGGAACACAATAAATAACAGAGCAATCAAAGCATCACAAGGCGTAACATGGCAATATGCGGTGCTAGAGGTGACCTAACGCAGTAGGAGGTGATACCGGTGAAGGGGGGAAACATCCGGGAAAGTATTCCTGGTGTTTCGCGTTTTTGGACAGATGAACCGAAGGGGGAAAGT